TAGTTTTATTTAAATATACTACTTAAATAATCTTACAGCACATATTGTGTTTTCATGTTGATGTAAATTTTTAATATACATTACAATCAAAATACTGATACAAACGTAACTCATGATGTAAATGTAATACATGCCCATGTTGTCGACATTTGGTCAGGTCTAGATGTAGTAGCTCCCCATGTTATCGACATCAGGTCAGATTTTAATATTACCTAGATATAATTATATTATTGTGTTTGCAATGCTGATTCAGAAATACCTAATCCTTCTCAAATATCAAAATATTGAAAAAAAAAGAATGTTAGTGGCTCTTTAAAACTGGGCATTTTTGAAAATTGTAACTTTTGGCTGTACAGTCTCAAAAGGTTGCCGGCCCTTACGTTAGACTAAATGTATCTGTACCTGTGCCTACCAAATGTACTACACTATGAATACATGAGGCTACAGTCGAGTTATAAAATAAGCCTCTCTGAAGATTATTATTTAGACAACTTAATTAAGAGTTATACTTCCCTTTTTAACACATCAATTTAACATTGCGATGGTCTTATGTTTCTATATTAAACTTCAGACAACATCGCCTGATGAAGCTTTAAACATACAGCCCTTGGTTCCATTATGTACAGCTATGATGTGGATGTCCGTTAGGTTATATCTTATCATGTCAGAGAAAAAGGGCCCATCTGTTGTCTTTTATATATTAGGTAGTCAAGTTTAGATTCTAGAATACATAACGGTATGTTACATATTATTGTGTTTTAATGTTGCTGTAAATACTTTAAGATGCATTATACATACAGTGATACAAGACTGATACAAGCGTAGCGCATTATTCATTTGTAGCACATGTTCATGTTGTCGATATTAAGTCGAGTCTAAATGTAGCAGGCTATAGATGTTATCGACATCAGGTCAGATTTTAAGATTAACTAGAAGTATCTTTGGTTTACTATGCTAATTAAAAATTCAAAATCTTTATTGGATACAAATATAATACTGTCACTATACTGGTAGGGTTGATACCGGAATATTAATAGTTATATTATTTAATTTTCAAAATTCGCAACAAATATTATACTGTAAAAAACTCAACTTTAAACAGGATAAAAACACTCGTCAGAGAACAGTGAGCAGAGGTGGAGTAGAGAGTATACGGACAGTTCAGAGTTTCTTCCAGATAGCCTTTCGGGATATATATAAAATAAGATACCCCGGAAATATTAGCCCGCTTCCCCCCCCCCCCTGCCCCGAAAATTTGAAGTGCCCCCTCTCCCGGTAGAAAAAAATCTGGAAGAAACACTGCAGCCGCTAGGGCACCAGGCCCAGCCCCACAGCCGTGCTGTAGCTGTAGCCAACCCCGTGACAACAATTCCATGCTTGCCACTGCAGAAGTGTCGACTTTTTCGAATATAGTTAAATGTGTAATGTTATTTTATTCAGAAAGCATGTCATTATCTGTCAGCAATCATCAATTTGACCTCAGTGACGTAGCTTTTTTTAGTTATTAGCTTCCTACTGTTGAGCCAGGTACTGGACGCTGGGGTACAAGCTGACCCTGCGTTCAGTGGGGTGGAGGATAAGCCTGGTGAGACCCAAAAGCGACCTGTACCCAGTAATCAAACAGATACCCAAGCCCGTTAATCGGTGATATACGGAAAGAAAGAAAAATATAGTTAACAGCTTCCAAAGTGGATTGCGATAGTCCTATAGTTATATTATTTGATTACTAAGTTCATTATTCTGGAGAAACGTGTAAGTTTTTATATTAATAAATATTATTTCATATTTAAGGGTTTTTATTTTAAATAAACAAATACAATTAATTTACCTAATCTTAATCAAATACTAAATATTGAAATAAAAACGTTAGTGGCTCTTTAGAAACTGGAAAATTTTGAAAATTGTAGCTATTGGCTCTCCGTCTGGAAAGGTTGCCGACCCCTGATATAAACTTTTGCTAGTTAGTAATCTCAAGTATAATATCCCATCTCAATTTAATTAGATATTGTAGTTAGTTATTTGTTTTAAATTTAAAGTAAGTTAAATTATTAATAAAATCAATAGAGTAGAACGGACAACATCAGCATATAAAAGGTTAAACTTTATATTGTCGTTTTGATAATTAACGACACACTGATTTGTTGTTTCTTTTTATTTAAAATAAATGAATTAATTTTTTTTTACATTTCAAGAATATTAATGTAAGTTGTCTACTATTATCAATTCAAATCTTCGAATGGGAAGTAACTACAACAATTGTAAGATTTTATTTTGTTTTAAGTTTAACAATATAATTTGAATATAACAGTTTACTAAATTATCGCATTCAATGTTAAATAACAATATGTATATAAACATTTCTTAAAGTCTATATTTATAAAATAAACGAGGTTGTTCATTTGTAAACAGTTCATTAACTCTTTGTAAATCAGAGACCGCGGTTTATGGGATGAGGCAAAATACAATTGACAAATGGGAAATCGAACTTTCGAAGTAGAGTTCCATATGATGTCATTAAAATTTGACAAATGTTTAAGAAATATGAAATAAAGCCAGTTGCGGAGCCAGAAAAGAAGGGCCACCCCGCAATTTTTTTAGCCCCCCCCCCCCCATATATATATATATATATATATATATATATATATATATGAAATATATATGAAATATATATGAAATATATATATATATATATATATATATATATATATATATATATATATATATATGTATATATATATATATATATATATATATATATATATATATATATATATATATATATATATATATATATATATACAATCCCAAAATACGAACATAGGATACTCATTGCTGGCCTGTTCGGGATTTGAAAAACATCAATTTTAAAAAAGTCAACACCATGTCATGTGTGTAGAATCTAATTGAATTAGTGTGTTTTGTGAAAATCAGTTTTGATTAGCTTTTGATAGAAGCCCACTCCTCGTCGGTCAAAATAATATAAAACATGAAAGCTTTGTTTAAGTAATGGTGTCTCGTGTTATGTTTATTTTTAGTTTTTTTTTGTATTTATATCATTAATTTTTTAAATATTGTTGATTTAATCACTTCTTTTTTATGCAATGTCATTTTTTTGTAATTACTTATAAAAATAATAATAATTAAGAGAAGTAATTGCTTTTTAATTTGTTTAGTACAAATCTATTAAAAAGAGCTTATGATCACCCCTACTTGACCCATTTTTTTAAAAAAGGGAAATAAGTCATGGAAGTGGTTTGAACGTTTGCTTATCTTTGATAAGTTAAACTGTAGGAGAAATACTCGGCTTTCACTGTGGTTTAATAAAAAAAAAGGGAAATAGAATATAAAAGAGCGTGGGGTGGTGTCTATAGAATAAAGATAATCCAACCGCAGCTACTGTAATTTTTTACAAAACAACCATCAAGTCAAAAATGAAAGAAAATTTACTTTTTTTTAAACTATAAAAATATTTATTATGGTCGGCTCTGGGCCCCTAAATGACGTGGGCCCCCGCATTGCGGGGTCTGGCGGCACTGTAGTTCCGCCCCTGAATAAAGCATTAACATAGTAACTGTAACAGCATTTTAGAATCTGATTGAACATTTATTTATTTTATTTTTTCATTGAAACAAAACCTGCATTGCATAACGGCTGCCCTGAACTTTGTATAGTATTTTAAATGGAAAGTAATGTTGAAGGTTAAATTCAACGGTAAAATACAATTGGACAGTGCGAAAATAAAGAAATATGTATTGTTGTACAACTTCAGGTTGATGAGTTCTGGGAATAAGAAGTGACAGAAATGTAGAGCGACAGCAGGGACACAACTCACATGACAGAACAGCGAAATCACTAACATGGGACACAACTCACATGATAGAACAGAGAGATCACTAACATGGGACACAACTCACATGACAGAACAGCGAAATCACTAACATGGGACACAACTCACATGATAGAACAGAGAGATCACTAACATGGGACACAACTCACATGATAGAACAGAGATATCACTAACATGGGACACAACTCACATGATAGAACATAGAGATCACTAACATGGGACACAACTCACATGACAGAACAGAGAAATCACTAACATGGGACACAACTCACATGATAGAACAGAGAAATCACTAACATGGGACACAACTCACATGATAGAACAGAGAGATCACTAACATGGGACACAACTCACATGATAGAACAGAGAGATCACTAACATGGGACACAACTCACATGATAGAACAGAGAGATCACTAACATGGGACACAACTCACATGATAGAACAGAGAAATCACTAACATGGGACACAACTCACATGACAGAACAGAGAAATCACTAACATGGGACACAACTCACATGATAGAACAGAGAAATCACTAACATGGGACACAACTCACATGACAGAACAGAGAAATCACTAACATGGGACACAACTCACATGATAGAACAGAGAAATCACTAACATGGGACACAACTCACATGACAGAACAGAGAGATCACTAACATGGGACACAACTCACATGATATAACAGAGAAATCACTAACATGGGACACAACTCACATGATAGAACAGAGAAATCACTAACATGGGATACAACTCACATGATAGAACAGAGAAATCACTAACATGGGACACAACTCAAATGACAGAAAAGAGAAATCACTAACATGGGACACAACTCACATGATAGAACAGAGAAATCACTAACATGGGACACAACTCACATGATAGAACAGAGAAATCACTAACATGGGACACAACTCACATGACAGAAAAGAGAAATCACTAACATGGGACACAACTCACATGATAGAACAGAGAGATCACTAACATGGGACACAACTCACATGACAGAACAGAGAGATCACTAACATGGGACACAACTCACATGACAGAACAGAGAAATCACTAACATGGGACACAACTCACATGACAGAACAGAGAGATCACTAACATGGGACACAACTCACATGATAGAACAGAAAAATCACTAACATGGGACACAACTCACATGATAGAACAGAGAGATCACTAACATGGCTTTAACTATCCGGACGACCAAGAAGTTTAACTTTGATGGTGTTTTGGTCGCGGCGTTTCTGAGAGGCTGACGGAACTTGGGGGATGAAACAAGTTGTGTGGCGAAAAATGTGAAGCAGATGAAGATGAGGGGATAGCAGACGTAAGGGTAGACGAGGTTGTGAAATGTCAGCGTGGTTTTGACATCCGGGGATTCACAGAACATCAAGCCTTGGGTACAGAGGATGGGGAGGTGAAGGATCAAGTTCACAATGGAGATCCCGAACAAGGAGTAGTACGTACGTCGGAAGGTGAAGGTTGTTTTGAACTGCAAGGGGAAGGTCACCAAACAGCAGTGGGGTATGGTGATGTAGGTCACGAAGAGAAAAGTGGAGTCTTTGAAAGAGATGGTGTACCAGAGGATGAGGTTACGTGACCACAGCGTCTTGTGGTAGATGATGTAGAGGGTGATGTTGCCGTCTGTGTGGATAGAGCCGATGATGGTGAAGAAGAGATCGTAGAGGGACAAGGCGAATAACGACACAAACAGGACGTCTACGAGGCCGATCTTGAAGAAGACGATGACATTGATGCCGTTGTTGACGGCATTCAGGAAGTGGGCAATGAACCCTAGTAGAACCACAAGCAGGAACGCGATGCCTGACCTTTCGTAGCCCAGGTCAACGACCGCTCTCACAGGCGGTGTTGTAGTCGAGATGTTAAACGCTTTGTGATTGGACATCTTTTACGATTGGGTACATATACGACACAAAAATGTGTTTGTTCTTTACTTAACGAAGATGAAGTATTTACTCTTATATAAATTATACTAAGATCAATTATATTTGCTCTTTAATTATCCTCAGCGGAAAGAGATAGGCACACTCGTCGTTAAATAATTATTTTCAGATATGAAAATTTAAAATCAGATTAATGCAATTAGTTTAACCTTGATGCTTATGTCTACGCACCGATAGTTCGATCGACAGTTAATTAAAAATTACACTAATTACACTTTGTTCATACATCAGTAAAGTCATACAATTCTTTTTGATGAATAAACATTGAGGTTAACTTAATTAGTTCGCCTGAACTAAAATAAAAATTGTAGAGTAAAAATCGAATTTTCTTCTTTTTTTGTTGTTTGATTCGTACATGTAATTAAGGTTGTGTGGTGAAGCCTGTGATTAAACTTCGATTCGCACTGGCTGTTTTTCTTTCCTTTTTTTTCTTTCCTTTTTTTTCTTTCTTTAAGATTAATAACTGTAAGGTGTTTTCTTTCCTTTTTTGTTAGACTTAGTGTTAGACTTTTTATATTGAGAAAATCCATATTTTAGAAATATTTATTTCGTTTAGAAATGAATAGTATTGTTATGCTATAAGCATTTTGAAATTGAAAGACTTGGTTACTGGTGTTGGATTTCTAAAAAAATTGTTTATAGGGTAAACAAAAACGCATAGAATATTGTATTTATTATGTATAGACCTACCACATATCACCAAAAACAACATTACATTTTACAAATGAATTAAGAGTTGAAGTTTTAGAGCTGAAGTTATATGATCAAATAGAGGAAGTTATTTTGTTTCAAACTTTAGGTGTTCTGTACAGTAGCATCACAAGGCGGGAGTGTGGTGCACACTCAATGACAGGATAGTGACGCCCTTAGTCTGTATAAAAATACAATCGAACTAGGGGTTTGTTCTTATACTTGTACCCGTGTTTGGAAGATCGAACTCAATCCGTCACTGTATTCATCTTTTGATTGCGTATACCGACGCGACTAGACGCTAAGGCCCCCCCCCCCAATAAAGTCTGCCGCCACCCCCCCCCCCCCCCCCGAACGAAATGAAATGTATATAGAAAATATATACTTTTAACAGTGCCCGCCCCCTCCCACCCTCGAAAAAAGTCTATCGCCCCCTTCCCAAGTGTCACCCCGCCCCTTCGCTAACGATAAAACGTGTACAATAATATAATACTTCTACTAGTAATTTAGAGTTTCTCCCTGTACATTATGATGAAGGTCTATTACTTTAATAACTAATTAAATTTACTTAAAAAGCTGACCTTTTCATAACAATTTGCTATATTTCGTTTTGGTGTCACCCGGCACAGTGGTAAATATGCTCTATCGAGTAATACCGCACATAAATATATAGCCGCAACTACAGAATGGCTTGTTTGGTCTAGGGATTGTCTCGTTGGACAAGAGGCCCCTTAATACTTAATCGTGTTGTATTAATGTATATTATTGTTATTGACTGGTTACCAATACTTGGCTCAGTGAAAAGGGTTTAACAATATGAGTCAATAATTAACTCAGTGCAAAGATTTGACAATTAGTTACATTTTAATACATGAAGTTAACATAGAGTAATTGACATAATTGCAACGTTTTAACGTAGTCAGATTAGCCTGAAAGGGGCGACTGGTCTCCAGGGCGGCGTGGTCACACTTGCTCACACACAGACCTCTGTAGCGTCTAGTCTTTAGCCCCAAGCTGGTCGGCTGTAAATACATTTGACAATCTTCCTAACATCTGTGTGATATACACATTCATTTAGACTTCTGACACATAGAATTTTACTATTGTTACAAAGATAGTACTAGATTTACATTAGCCTGACATAGGACCTACCATAAATATTACTAAAAAATATCATTTTTATGCATACATTGTTTTATACACATTCCATACTTATCGATTACTATATAACAGTACAGTTAATAAAAATAAGTTTTCAATTACCTTCAAATGAAGCCACACAATCCTCTACACACGTTGCCAAAAAGTGAGTTAAATTTCTCGGTAGAGATCAAATGCCGTAGCACCAAAATGAGTATAATTTTATGATGGAAAGTGCCTTATCATCAAAATAAGTATAATATTATAACGGCAAGTGCCTTAGCACACAAAAAACGCATAGGCTACCTCCGAAGAGGGGAGAAGGTAGAGTGACCGGACTGTGGCGTCCCTACCCTACAGGTCACATGAGTTAGGCTCCGCCCTCGTGACCGCAGTCTGAGGTCGAGGCCCGGTCAGCCTTACAATACCGCTGGACTCAGGTCCAGGTGTGTACCGTTACCTGTGGGGTAGCAAGAAGGGGGGAGAGGTGGAGACACCATGATAGATATTTATAATCTATCATAACAGGCACTGACTTACATACTGATTATGTGTATTTATAAAATTATTTAAAATGCGTAGAACAATTCTAATAGAAATAGTGTATGTTCAAACAAAGTAATTGTATTAATAACCTAAACATTAATAATTAAGTAGAAACAGTAATTACTTGTATTATTAGTCAATAACATAATTCATGCATAGATGTACAATTAGTGATACCGCAAGGATAATTATTATTATTTTAGAGGAAGTCGCATTTTTTTAATTGGAAGATTATCTTCTTAGTTATATATAAAAATTAAAATTGACTTGTCACCGATTTGCTTAAGTAAGTTACCTAGACAGACAAAGAGATGGACTGCCATTTTTAAGTAATTTGGGAAAGGGGGGGGGGAGCCGTTATTTCGCAGAGTAAAATAAAATATTTTATTTATTAGGCAAATATTTATAAGCTAAAAACTAGAACCCTTTATTATTTGGATTAGGTATATATAAGGGGTCGGAGTGGTCGAGTCGGTAAAGCTCATGGTTGCTAAACCGAAAAGTCTCGACAGCAACTCTTCTAGGAGAAAAAACTCCAAAAACTAAAACTGCTGCCTTGTAGTTAGTTCTTAATGTTACAAAGTACAAAGGCTATGAAAGCAAAATATCAAAAAGAAAAGCAGGCTGACATCGGAGAAGATATATATATATATCATCAATATATTTTAAACAAATTGATTAAAAAAAACATGTGGAAGAACAGCTATGTTTGAAAATGAAGAATGTTTGGTTTGAAGTGTTTCATTGTACCGAAAATGTTCCGGCTTCTTATAATATTTACAATATTTGTTTTCTTTATACCCACATTTCTTTCATCTATACTTAAAAGCCCTAACCCCACTCAAACCACCATGCCGATAAAAACAATCCATTGAATCATCATTTAATTACAATATTTGCATTTTCCGGTTTAAAATCGAAATTGTAATTAGGCGTTTTGTATTATGTAAACCATCTAAAATGAAGGAGAGTCAGAAGGATATTGTGATTATTAATCTGTATCATTCCTCACAAGCCGATGATGAAAACTGTAATACTCAATTGAACATGACAAGGCAAACTGACGCTGTAAAAAAAAAAAAAAAAAAAAAAACAAGTAGGGATATTTCTGACAATTTAACATTAAAAAAGGGAAAAAAATACCCTTCTGTCATTGAATCGTCCTTTATTTACACTTTTACATTTGAATATAATTTAATTGTAAAATAAGTAAATGTTGAGATTGCTAAACAATCTGTCACTGTTAAAACCATGTTAGAAGATTTGGGTATGGATGAGGATGAAGATGAACCTGTTCCACTACCTAATGTTAATGCTGCTATATTAAAGAAGGTAATTCAATGGTGTACCTTCCATCGGGATGACCCTCCACCAACTGAAGATGATGAAAACAAAGAAAAAAAAAGATGATGTTTGCTCCTGGGATGCAGAATTTCTTAAAGTTGACCAGGGCACCTTGTTTGAGTTGATTTTGGCAGCCAACTACTTAGATATCAAAGGCTTGCTTGGTGTAATAAACTATTAGCACTAGAAAGACTGCTACATTTTAAATATTATTTTGTTACAAGAATAATAAATACAATGAACAAGGATTTACAACATTGTTTTACTACAACTGAGGTATCGGGGTATCGGTTTTATATAATTTTGATATAATAGTTCAAAATGGTTTCCCTTATGTATTATAAAATATTTAGATGGGAAGTAACTAATAAAAAAAAATAACTCTATCCAGTTACAGCATTGCCATAGTACAACGCACGCTAATACTATACGTCAGGGGTCGGCAACCTTTTAAGACGAAAGAGCCAAAAGTTACAATTCTCACAATTTTCCAGTTATTAAAGAGCAACTAACATTTTTATTATAAAATTTGATTATTTGATTAGTACTACGTAAATAAATGTGATTTTTGTTATTTAAAATAAATAGCTATACATATGAAATAATATTTATTCATATAAAAACATACACATGTTTCGCAATAATAATGAGTTAACATAATACATAATATAACTATAGGACTATCCCAATCCACTTGAGAAGAAGTTAACTTTTTTTTTCTTTCTTTAAAGTAAAGACATCCCCACCCCACCGCCCTGTACCCGGCTCAACAGTTGGGAGTTAATAGCTTAAAAGACAACTACGTCACTCAGGTCGAATTAATGATTACTTACTCATAGGGAAATACATATATATATATATATATATATATATATATATATATATATATATATATATATATATATATGTATATATATATATATATATATATATATATATATATATATATATATATATATATATATATATATGTGTCATTGTTTACTTACACTTAACAATTGGCAGTCGGGATGTAAACTCACGATAAACTAAACTCACGAGATATACTACATTTACGATAAACAAAATTCACGATAAAATAAATTCATGATATATTAAACTAACAATATGCTTAACGTACGGTACACTACATTTACTTTATACTAAATTCACAATCTACTAAACTCACGATATACTAAACATGAAATAATATGTTTTTCTTCATGTTTTACCATGTCTCTCT